AGCAACACCTGATCCCGGAGAAGACCCGAAAGTGTCCAGGGCAAAGTTTTTTATTCGAGATGAATTCTTGGTATATATAATTTTTTACTATATTTTCTTTATTTGATCTAAAATAATAAAGGTATAATTCATCCAAAAATAAATGTACTCTTAGTTTATTCACCCTCAGGCCATCCAAGATGTAGGTGACTTTTTTCTTCAATAGAATAGTTATTACAGAAATTAGGGAACATCAAGGAACACAAAATTAATACATGTGGCTGCTGACAAATATATTGAGGTCTTGTGAAACAAAATAATCTCTCTGTGCAAGAAATTGAACATTATTTACAGCATTATTACTTGTAATCTGATTCAGGAAAACTGGAGTGATTTCCAGTTTGCAAACTAATCTGTCTTTTGAACCTGTTTTTTGTAGTGAAGTGAATGAACCAGTGCACAAACTCAGACTGTGAATGATCCAGTGTACTGGCATATATAATCAATATGATGCCGGTTTTTGCCAACTCATTCAGCACTTTAGTTACTCCAACAGTACACTGAACTGAGGAAACAGATTGGACTCGGACCGAAGAATGAGGCATTGATAAGCTCATACATGAACTGAGGACTTGAATGAAGTGTTTATGTGTGTTTATGGTTTTTCATGGTTTATTTGGTTAAGACAAGTTTATTCATTTCATATGCTTTAGACATGTGAAACATTTGTGTTTCACATCATTATTGGGTGCTTTAATAATAGTCAATATTATAAATATTATATCAAGTCACGCAATAGTCATTGCATGATTAAATAACAATCTAGTCAATAGAACCAGGTAATTGAAACAAACTGTCAAAAGAATGAGTTTGTGGAAAATAATCAGAATTCCCTATTGCTTGAGGCTGTGCATTACAGGTATAAATAATGTTCAGTTTCTTGTAAAGACCAATAGTCTCGCTTCATAAGACCTCGATATATATCATCAGAAGCCACGGGTATTAATTGTGTGTTCCCTAATATGCTTGTTTTAAACTCTCAAAGTGATGGTAGCTTTTAACTTGAATTTTATGAATTACCAAGCACCATGGTTTCAGCTAAATATCTTCTTTACTGTTATACTGAAGAAAAAAGTCACCTACATCATGGGTCCTCTAACTAGTCACCATTTCTGTAAAGTTTTTAACTATTTTTAATCACCGTTTTGCATATGTCAGCTATAAATTTGTTATGCTTGGACTGTGTATGTGTGTTTGTGTTTGCATGAACCCACAGAAAATCAGCACAGCAAGCGGCACAGACAAACACTACTGCTATCCTCACTTCACCTGTGCCGTGGACACAGAAAACATCCGTCGTGTATTCAATGACTGTCGTGACATTATTCAGAGGATGCACCTCCGCCAATATGAACTCTTGTGATTGGCTGCCTGGATCTGGCTGCTCCTCCAATCAGCACTTTTCCAGTTCCACATCACATGGGGTCTTTAAGAACTACTGAAGAGTGACAATTTTTTCATGTTTTTTTCCCCCCTTTTCTGCCTTTCACATGTTTGTTTTCCTTTTTAATTTATTTATAGTCTCGTGTGTGTGTGTGTGTGTGTGTGTGTGTGTGTGTATATACCGTTGTCAACATTTGAAGTGGATCAAAAAAGTTCACCAAAATTGTCCTAAGGCAAGAACACATTTTAGTTTTAGGTTTTAGAACAACTTTCATGAAAGGTTTTGATCCACTTCAAATATTGAGTAGTGTGTATATATATATATATATCATTTTTTATTTTTTTCACTGAAGTGAGAGGGAATGTATGTGTATGAGATTAAATTATTTGTATTTTATGTTTTTACCACTCCCAGGTAATTTCTTTATATTGTTTTGTTGTATTTCAGCATTGGCTGGCTTTAGATGAGGTTAGATTAGAAGATTAGATGTGGTTAGACCAGCTGACATAATGGAAACCTGTGACCTATGTCAGGATGGTCTGACCTTTTACCTTTCCCCTCCATCTAATGAAGGGGATATTGGAGTACTTGATATAGGAGTGAAGGGGTACATGAAGGATTTAATGAAGCACTTTGCATCAGTTGTTTCCTAAATTAAAGCCAGAAGGCAAATTTCACAATGTAGCACCTCTGTATTTATCCATATTTTATTTATTTATTTTTTAGTTTAGTTTGCTTTTTTTCTGCAAAGCATGCAGAAAGGAATTCAGGGCTAGATAGGAGTTTGTAACCAACTACAGAGCACAGAGCAGGAGCAGGGACTTGTGGGATTTGTCATACTCTGCATTTTTTTTCCTCAGTGGGCGCCAGCGGCAATCCATCTTGGGAGAACTGTCACCGGCCAACCGATGCCTCCTTTAGTATGGGCAGCCCCCATTTGGGAGGTAGTCCTAAATATAGATATAAAGAAAAAAACAAAATATATTTTTAAGGTTTTTGTTTTGTTATTCTAAAGAATGTGCAAGGTAACTCGATCTTGTACAGGACTGCAAAATGGTATTTTGTATAACTTCAACAAGAAAGACAAAACTTTGAGCTCTTTGTGCCTTTGAATATGACTGTACCTGTAAATGAAGATAAAGTATGTGCGATTGGACAGCGCTGTACAGCTTGATGTCAAATCTTACATGCAGCACAGCGTGCTGACAGGAAATCGCTCTGTAGACTGTTTTTTTTTCTGGTTTATAAAGCTATTTAAAATGTCTTTTACTATCAAATGAAAAAATTAGGCAAAAAATCTTGATATACAATATGCAAAATTAACCACTTTGTTTAGAAACTGCAAATACAGTATGTCTTACAGTTCTTTGAATTTCTGTTTTTGTCGGAGTACTCAGCTTTAAAAAACTTTTTAAACTTTCAAAAATTTTGACCTGCTGTTGTTTCAGGTAGGGTGCATTTTTAGAAGTGGCATATATGCAGACTGTACGCAAGGTCGTGCCAGTGAAAGTGTGTAGATATGTGTGATCGCATGCGTGTCCGCATACATTTGCAGATATTCCACATGTCGTACTGTACATGTGCATTCTATGTGTACATATACATTTATAAAAACATGATAATACATATTCTATAAATATATATGTACAATTATTCATAATATGTGTGCCTAAATGTATACATATTTATGAATGTTTAGCGAGGTTGTATGCATAGCTATGCATTTACAAATGCATAATATAGAAGGAATGAAGAAGTAAGACTAGCGATTCTTTACTGGCCGTCCTGAGCACGTACTGACTGCACTGGCATTGTGAATGTGAGCACTGATAGTGTAAATCTCACAGCTCGAGTGGGTCCATACGTCTCTCTCACTGACCAGTGGGGCAGTTAACATAAGTCAAAGGAATAGTGCAATGCATTTTTTTTTTTTTGAGTGTTTGTACAGAACTGTACAGAATGACCTTCATGAAAAATCATCCAATATTTCATTTGTTTGTTCAAAAGATAGACTGCATGTAGATTCTAACTTGAGTTCAAGTAAATCAAATAATTTTCATTTTCAGGAGAAATAATTCTTTAATACATTAAACACAAGTGGCTGACTTAAATTTAATATATACACACTTGAATCCATGCACAATGTCATATAAACCATTAATTTTACCTGACTGTAGTCTTGTGGGTCACTTTTCAACTGGTGAAGTGCAGAGACAGTGTGTGATGTGACTTAGGCTGTGAGTGGCTGTAAGCCTGGTAGATAGGCTTTATTCTTCTTACTATCCTCTGCAGTTCAAACTTATTTCAGAAACTTAAAATACAAGTGACAATGACGAAAAATAATATAAATAATAATAATAATTATAATAAAAACATTTGTCTCTGGACTTTCAAAGATTATATGGTTTCTTTTTTCATTTTCATTTCTTAATGTTTATTTTATTAAGACACATTAGAAGACCTTCGTCTTTGTTTAGAATGGCAATGTGGGAAGAAATGTAATTTTGCAAATAAAATACCTCTAAAAAATGTGAGTTTGCCTTCGAATTGAGTTGTATGTTTTATAATCACAACTTGAAAAATGGGTTGCAGCTAAAATTTCTTATTTCCTAAAATGTTTTTCTTTTTCTTCCCCCTCCACTGGCTAATACTGAACCACTTTTTCAAAACTCTTCTTATAATCTGCAGTACCAACATAAATCTCTTGACCAAACAGTTAATCTCACTTCCAAAATGAACTCAACCCACCATTATATAATGAACTTTTATTTTTTTAGTTTAAATTATTTTTTACATAAATCTGTACATCTTTAGAGAATATGTGTACCGTTTCACTTTATTGTTATGTAACATATGTTAAAGCATATATAACAAGAAAGAATCAGAAATGCTGCAAATTGGTTGCATATCTGTGCATATAATTGTAAGTTTAAAAAAAAGCTGAAATTCCAGGGCTGCAAATATAATTAAATAATTAACAAATATAAACAACTACAGTACATGTAAATTATAATGACTCATACTGTATGTACTGTACTGTGAGGGTTCTGGTACTCGCTCTCTCTGTCACTCTTCTTTCCCCATCAATCTGTCTTCCTTGATCAACATTTTCAAACAAAAATATTGTGCTGTTGCAGGTGAAGTATGAAAGACAAGAGTAAAAAAAAATAGCTACCTTACGGAGATGGTCATTTAAGGCAATTTGTGTGGAAGCAATTAAAAATTATTCACAGTTTGGTCCGCACAAACTTCTATTTCACATGTTAAGAGTTTTGAAATTGTGACTTCTATTTGGACTAAACTATTGTACATCAAAATAATGTATTAACCATTTTAAATCAGAAATCAAAGATGCTGTGAGAATATCCAAACCAGTAAAATAATTGATTTTCAACAATTTCTTGTTTCTGTGCACATGTACTCAGGGCTTACTGTTAAACCATTGTTATCATTAACAGTGCCACATAACTCTCACATGCCTTTTGTGCATGTTACAAAGTCTTGTGCTTTCCTAGATGGGTATTTGGCAAATGCAGTGATCTTCTGAACATCTTGATATGGCTGAGTGTTATCAGTGCAATGATCAGACAGCTGCCGCAGTAAAGTGCTAACACAGTCCTCTCCTCTGGCAAAAAACACTTTGACAGCCAGATGTCAGACCTGGAGAATGTGCCCTACAGGAAGTGACAGAAATACAATAGCATTAACATTAAATAAATATTAAAATTCATGAAACTTAAACTCTAAAAACATGTTTGCTGTTTTAATTTCAAAAAGCAACAGAATGAAGAATCAGTTAAATTATATTTCACTTGTTTAACTCTTCATGTCAACTTAAATAATAAGAAAAGTGGGTCTCTGTAACTATGTAAAATGACAGACCTGAAAATATGTTTGAACTTAATTTTGTGGAAAGTGTAGCAATTGTATGAAATGTCCTGTAAATAGATTTATAAACTTGAGAAAACTTAATCTGCTCCATTCTGTGAAGTCTGGATCTAATTGAGCTGAAATGAAACAAATGATTGTTGCATATAGAACTACATATACTGAAAAAAATAATATGCAAGATTTAACTTAAGAAGAGGGATGCAAAAATTATGCACTATATTTTTAAATAAATTTCACATGGAATTTTAAGCAGTGTTACCTAAAAATCTTTAGTTGGCAATGCTTAAATATTTGAGTATCCCAATGAACGGTTTTGCTCAAATTTATTAGCTGGTGTAACATAATATTTTAAGTAGATTTTACTAATAAATTTAAGTTATTTCTACAATAAAAATCTTGTTTACACCATTATACAATTTAAGCATATTTAGATTGATAATTTTAAGTTTTTGTATTTTAAAATACGTGGGTACTGCTCAGTACTTAAAATTAGTTCCCTTTCAGTCGGTCACTCTCGACGTCACGTCGGTGACCGACGAATTGGGATCTCGCTTTAGAGAGATCAATCCACTTCAAGTGTAAACTAAACGAGCCAATGCACATTGGCATGCGATAATTGCATCCAGCTGCCGCTGATCACAGTGTGAGCATAAAAAGGCAGCCGGTGCAACACATACCAGGTTTTCGCTGAGGAGCCGAGCGACAACATCGTTCTGCTCCTACCAACTGCTTCTTGTGTGACGAGTTTAAAATGCTCTAGGGAGCTTCTTGTGTTGGCGGACGGCGCTTCAGTGGTGGTCGTTCCTGTGTCGAGTGGGTTGCGCACTTCAGGCTGCACTACCCCCTTTTGTGCTGCAAGCGGCCATCTCCCTTGTGCGTCTCAGCACCTAAAAGAGCATTTCCCTGAAAGAGCTTATTTTTCTAAAAGAGCTTACACGGATCTTCTTTTTAAAGATGCCGTTTCACCCGTGCGTTTCTGGATGCGGTCGTTACCTGGCACCAGGTGATGTTCACGATCGCTGGCTCACGTGTCTGGGCATTAAGCAGGCTGAGGTGACATTCGTGGATGAGTCATGTTCCCATTGTGGGAAGATGACCATCTCGGAGCTGTGGGCCAGACTCCGTTTCCTCCAGGGGGGCGGAGCTCCGTTGCCTCTGCCGCGATCTAGTGTTCGTCCTGGCGGCAGCCAG